GAAGGAATTAAAAGTAAACTTTATTCTTTTGTAATTTAAATTATATTAAATTGTAAAATGAAAACTATTAGATAAACGGAGAGCTACAATATCAAGAAGGTCACTCTTCATTCAAGAATTAATATTCTATAATTCATTATAATTTGAACTGCAAAACATTTTTTCATTAAAAATAAAAAATAAAGGAAGCTTCTTCTCTCCCCTCTCCAATTTTTTTTACTAACTAAATAGAAGAATTATCTTTCTTCCCTGCAAATTAAACATACCCTTAGGTTTTATTTAAAGGTATTGCGTTGTATTGTGGGCAATAGTTATAACTACCATTAAATTTATTAAGTTCACTAAAAATTGTCAAATTTTTATTTAATTTGACTGTTAAAATAATTGATAACTATTAAAACAATTAATATTTATTATTCAACAACTTTTAATTAAATTATAGTTGGTGGCCTTAACAAATTTGATTGTGGCAATAACCTTAGCCTATATTGTGTGGTATCTTTTACCATCTGGTTGAAGGATAAATTTGTATTATTTAGAAATTAACAACACATGCAACACCTTGTCAGCAAGATCGACTTTGAATTTGTGACTAGGAAAGGCCCACATGATTTATTTCCCACATCAGATATGCTATTTCTATTTTCAGCTGATGACTACAACAACATCAATATCGCCAGAAGTGGCATTCGTCTATTTCATTGGAAATATTGTGAACATAATTCGCTTTAGCATATATTTCATATATATGGCCAAACATGGCTATATCTATCTCCACGACATGGCTGGGTGTTTTTGACAGTCATGTTCTCTACAGTAATATTTACTGCTACATCTTTTTGGCTCCCAACAATGGACAAAGAGTATGTTTCACTACACATATATGGCTCTCATCAATGGACAATGGGTTGATTCTATTACATCTACACAGTTCTCAGCGATGGACAAAAAACTAGATTTGCTATCTCATTTAACCTTCAGCAATAAGCAAAAGGCTACACATTTCTACATATCTTCATTACACTAGCTTCCAGAAACGAACAAAGGGTCGGATCTCTATATATTTTATCTCACTGACTCCCAAAAATAGACAAAGAGTCAGCACAACTTAGTACAATTAACATGAGGCTAGTAACAGTTATAACCCTGCGATTGATTAGGATGGCTACCCTCTAGCAGTAAAAATCCATCAAATTGTGGCCGGTGGTCCCTTGGTGGTCGCCTATGCATGGTGGTGTGGTGCCCGGTGAGCAACAACAATGAAGACCATCCTCTAATGGTGTAGGTACAACAAGAAGGGCCAGTGTGTGTCAATAATATCACACTTTGTTATATCAGAGGCTATGGATGCAGTTGGCGTCCTCTTTCCATGGAGGCAACTCCACATATCTTTATCACCTTCATCACTATGGTGGAGTTTGACTTGATGAGATTTATCCCTTTCGTGACTTGGCAGATTAATGGGAATGCTCTTCCAATTCCACATAATTCACACTCCAGCCACGAGCAAAGTTAGCCACTATTGTCCATCAACCTATAGGGAATCTACTCATGGCTAACCTACGATACTTATACAACATGACTAGCGGTCATGCACATCATCATTATTCTTCCATGCAATGAGACAAAATTACCAATCGCCAGTAATCCCAATTCACAATATATTTCTTCCATATTTTTACGTGTTAGTAAGTATCACCAACCGACAATGCTTAGTTGGGAAAAATGATATCGCAACACACATCCGTATCACCCATTCTTTATTGTGGCACAACACCAAACATACATAGCAACATTATACAAGTGCTTGCCATGGTCAGTGGATAAAAGAGCACAACAATACTCATCCTCAACACCTCCTTCGATATACAAGGGAGTGTTCTTCTTTGCTGCACATACGTATACATTCCACACTTATACAATTGAACAAATACTCATTCATATTTTACTCTTTGTTGTAAATAAACGCAAACCCATGAATCCAAGCTTATAGGGATTACTCCGGATAAACTATGGGAGTAGTGGTTTAGCAAGCATGGATGGATGGACGTTGCACGTCTGGCGAAGTGAGGTATTTGCACCAGCCAAGCTTAGAGTTGGCGATGTTGCTTGACTTCGTCAAAAAGGGCTGGGTGACGAAGACATGGAGACAAAGCTTGATCCCAAAACAGTACCATTTAATGCTAACTAGAAAACTTGGAATCTTGTTAGAAACCAACCAAAGATGCTATTTAAGTCTTCATCAAGAAGTTACAACTATATTTAATGTAAAGGTAGCTACATAAGTTTCACCACATTGGAAACTGTTGAAAAAAATTATATTTTGCATAGGAAAATCACCAAAATCCTAAGCAAATCTGATTTTTGTTGGTTGGACTCAAATACCCCCAAAAATGGTATTTCGTCTGGTTGACTAGAAATGGGTAGTCTCTAGCAAACTAGCAATTCTTTATTGAAACTAGTGATACTTTGTTAGAGTACCACTAGTTCCAGCGACAGCGAATGACCGTTAGAACCACTAGATAATTTATGATATCACTTCAAAAAAGTTGTCAATAGTACCAAAGCCACTCAAAACTCAACAGCTATCCTCCCCTAACCCAAATATAACTGTTGGGTTGTTGAGCTACTCTGACCCATCAACTCAAAAATTACAAAAATGCCAGTGCATATATATATTATTTTTCCTCCATTTTTCAGTAGATTTCAAGAGATTACATAGATCCAGCTTCCTTTTCACACACCAGACCTCCATTTTTCCTCTAAAAAACTCTTCATCTTCAACCTCTCGTCCCATACACTAAAATCACCTAGAAATCACCATTTTTATCATTTTTTTGCACTTCCAACACTACAGAATGTTCTCTAGACTTGCAGAACATCATGGCTGGAAGACAACATACTATAGTTTTAGATGCTAGGTTATCTTCTTAAGCATCAAAGGATCAAGCTGCAAAGTTAGCATCAAGAATGGGATCAAGTCCTCCATTCATAAGCCCCCACAACAATCATCCTTCCTTCTCCCATCAGTACTTTCAAGTTTATTCCTTTTGTCTTGTTAAAACTTGAAGAAGGTTATCGTGCTTTCCACCTACAACATGAGGATTGCTCGTTATAGAGTAGGAGTATTTGTCAGGGAAAGTAAAGGGCACATTCATTGTTTTTACTATTATGCCACAATAAATTATGTATAAATGTGCTTCTCAAGTGATAAAATTTGATTTCTATATATTCTCTATCCTTACTGCTTCTACCCCAATGTACACTTCCTTTTTATTATTTTTGGTGGTTATGTAATCATTTCCAGTTCTTGATACCCGATTATTGCTGCCTAGCTTTCCTGATTTGGTTGGAAAATTTACACTTTCAAACTTTGTTGGAGAATTTACTACTGATCATCTTTGGTAGACAGAATGAGGCAACTCGTGGCACGTAATACGGGTGCTAACCAAAAGGACCCTCCTCATCCCCGTAGGTGGCATCCTAATTAGTTTCCACGTCATTACTTGGGCTGATCCAAGTCACCTACACCCTCAACACCATCCTAAAAATATATATAGTACTATAAAATATTAATGCTAATTAAAATTAATTAAAAATAAAAAAATTTATAGTTCACAATATTACAAATAACATTGTAAACTACATAGTTTATATTAATAACATGCTTGTTTTTAATACAACAGTTAATAAATTATATAATAAAAATAATTATTTTATTTCCTTAATTCTTCCTCAACTATCTAAAAATTTAAATTTAAAATATCCAACTTAAAATCCCAAATTAGAAAGTGTTTGAAGCCCATTTGCGAGTTATAAGAACATGTTTACATATGAGTGAGAGCTACGTAGCGCAGCGGATTTGGTAATATTAAAATAATAATAATAATAATAATAATAATAATAATAATTAAAAATTTCATTCCTATCTTCTTCTACGTTTAATTTATAGAGAGATGAGATCCAAAACTCGCAAGAATATACACAATACTAATAAGTTACAAACATCATTTGCTACTTAACTCACCTCAAATTTGGATGGGTTGCTAAAATTATTGGAACATCATGTCGGTATAGTTTTATATATATACATATAATATAGAGAAAAAATGGCTGTGAATTTGAAGAAAGCACTCCCCCTGTTTTTTTTTTTGTTTTTCGCCCGTTATTCGGGGTTTCGTCCTAATTAATCCAAACCCGACTCACGTCATACACCTGGAAATGGTGTGTGAGTCTCCCAACGAGAGCTGCTGCGTACACAAAATCTCAAACTCGAGACCTTACTTAAGTTAGAACAAGCCGCTTACCACTTGATCCAACCCCTCGTTAGTAAGCACTCCCCCTGTTAATACTGAATAGGTAGGATACATGTAAATTAGGCGTTACTGGTTCAACTAGTTCATATTGATTTAATTTCCCTATCTCTATAAGTATAATATATGTTAATGGTCCTATGGTATAAAATATCAAAATAGTATTTTTAACACAGATTACATGATAAAAAGGCAGTTTGAGTAGTAAAATTATTAAAAAAAATTTAATAAAATTTTTTATATTAATTTACTAATAATATTTTAGTAATTTAACTTCTCATAAACTCATAAAACATTATACAAGTTAAATTCTCAAATTATTTGAATTTATTTTTATACTAAAATTTCAAAATGAAATTCAATAGTACAACATATAATTAGACTCATCCGTACTTGGTATTATCATCTCTTTTTATCATTTAAAAAAAAAAAATTGGGATAATAACGAGTACCATCATGGAATTGGAAATAGTTTAACCGATTACCAACCAACAAGATGGCCCAGAAGGGGCCCAACCCAAAACCCAACTAACAGCGACACGTTTGAGAGTAGACCACCTTACGTGGACACCTCGATTCCTGGTCCTAACGCGCTTTTTGGGCCCCACACAACACGCAACTGGTATCGGCGTTTTCTTGGCGAAAGGAAGGAACAAACGCAGCCATCGGAGCGTCCCAGGGCGATGCAGAAGCAGCCCACACGCAGACAAATTCCGACAATGGTTGGGAAAGCAGTAGGGCTACTGCGACTCCTTTTGGATTTTTCTAATTGATTATCATTTATCGCTTTCCTGTACTGTAATGGGTCCATCTCCGTGAAACATTATATAGGTCCTCCATTCTGAATTTGCATGTAGGTGTTTTTGGCTCCTTCTGTTGGTTATGATCATCATCACTATCAGAAACCCAGATAGCTTTTTTTTTTTTGGAGGTTCATAATGTCGCAGAAGAGACCGCAGGAAGAAGGGAAGGCTCGATCGGATGGGAATAGCCCTGAGGATAAGCGCAGGAGGATTCCGACTTTTAGGAGGTAAGATGGATTTTTGTTACTCCCCTTGATATTTTTTATGCTTAAAATGTAAAATTGGATTGGTAAAGAAGTGGGTTTTAATTGTTTTTGGAAATGGGTAGCGGGTGTGGTTGATTGACCCTTATTGCACTTGATTGAAAATTGTTGAAAAAAGTGAAAGGGTTATTGAAAACTAAACTGAACTTGCTTGTTCAGATCAAAATGTTAATTAATATGTTTTGTGCATCTTCAAATATGATTGAAAATGCGTGAGCAAATTCTTAAACTGCGTTTTACTTGTTTTGTGAATGTTATTGGTGAAATATTCTTTGCAATTTGCTTTTTGATTAGAATTCTCAGGCTAGTGCGCGTCCCTTTGTGGAACTTTCTTTTTGGATAGGAATCTTTTCTGCTGATGATAAATCTAAGAGGGGAAACAAGTGAATTATATTTTATTGAACATTTTGTTATTTGTTCGAACCTCTTGTTAAGATTCTCCATTTTTAGGATGAATTCGGTAACTGACAAGTGTAGAATTTTGTTCATTTTATACATCTTCTTGGTGTTTCTGATCTATTTTTTTCATCCATTTTAGTGTGGTTCAGGAGGTTATGAGGATACAATCAGTTCAAAATTTTCTCGAGCCGGTTCTGGAGCCCTTGATTCGTCGGGTGGTATGTGAATTTTCTTGATTATGTTATCTCAGTAATGTTTTGAGCCTTCAATATTATTTTAATTGTCTTCAGTTAATAGAATTTTGGCAAAGAAAAAGTTTTTAAGTTACTCTAGTTTATTAATTCATTTAGCAGAAAATTCAAAAGAAAAATGAGCTTGACTTGGTGGCCAGGCCAGAAAAGTTCCCTTTATTTTATTTATTTTTGCAGTGCCTTGGGAACATAACATAGAATTAGGATTTAAGAAGGGTACACTACCAAAGTGCATCGCTGCGTTTGTAATGATAAGGAGTCTGTCAGCCATTAAAGGCTCTGTTGACGTTCATAGTTGTCTCTATAAACTTTTCCAATAGACATGTACGTGCCTCGAGTTCTTTTTTGGTCTTCATATTTGTTCAGTTCATAATTGTCAGCCTTTAAGCATATTATAAGTTTGTGTAAATACTTCCATTTGTTTTTTCAAGTTGTTGGGCATCACTACTGAACTTAGTTATGTGGGTTATGCGTTATGGTTTCTGACATGTAACAGAAAAGTATTGGCTGTAAAATGGAGAGAAAACCATGCCTCAATAGATATTTTGAGGCATTGACCTGCCATGCCCTTGAGTAGTCTTTGATTCTGCATACATGTGTGTTAAGATATAAATTGTTTGTCTTATGAATTGGAAGTAAATTAGGGGTTTTTTTCTCTGCAGGTCAAAGAGGAAGTTGAATTGGCTTTTAGAAAGCATTTGAACAGCATTAGAAGGTAAGATTTCTTCTGGAAGGAAAAAGCAAGAATGGTGTGAACTTTTTTAGGTGGAAAGTTGGGAACTGCACCTCCTGCTGGATTAAAATGTATGGTTCACTTCTTTTGGTTCTCTTCAGGAATAGTGAGAAGGAAATTAATGCTACTGAATCAAGGATCCTACAACTTCGGTTCTTAAATAATCTCTCTCTTCCTGTCTTTACCGGAGCTCGAATTGAAGGTGAAGAATCTTCTGCCTTAAAAGTAGGTCTGGTTGATGTTCTGACCGGGCAAATTGTTACCTCTGGCCCTGAGTCTTCTGTCAGGGTGGAAATTGTAGTTCTTGAGGGAGATTTTGACGGTGATGAGGGTGACAATTGGACTCTTGAAGAATTTAAGAATAACATAGTGAGAGAAAGAGAGGGAAAGAAAGCACTTCTTACTGGAGATGCATTTGTCATGCTACAAGAAGGCGTCAGTGCAGTGGGTGATATTTCATTCACAGATAATTCAAGCTGGACAAGAAGCCGCCGCTTTAGACTTGGTGCAAGGGTTGTGGATGGCTCTGACGAAACTAGAATAAGAGAAGCAAAGACAGTATCATTCATTGTCAGGGATCATCGTGGTGAACGTAAGTACTGTT